GGCAGTGGCCTACAGTGAAGTTGGAGAGGGACTCTTTGTTAGGAACTGCAGTGATAGGACAAGGGGTAATGGATTCAAACTGAAGGAGGCGAAATTTAGGTTAGATATCAGGAAAAAGTTTTTTCCTGTGAGAGTGGTGAGTCACTGGCACAGGTTGCTCAGGGAGATAGTGTATGCCTCAACCCTGGTGGTGTTAAAAGCCATTTTGGATAAAGCCTTGATCTACCTGGTCTAGTGGGGAGGTGTCCCTGCCCATGGCAGGGATGGTTGGGACTAGATGATCTGTAAGGTCCATTCCAGCCCCTTAACAATCTATGAATCCTGGGGCAGCAATTTAATGCTCAGAACTCAAAAGGATTTCTAAATATTATCTACCCAAATCAAAAGAGAACATGAGCAGCTGCAAATGCTCAACTGGATTATAACTTTCTTTTGTAAAGTACCAGGGAACTTTTATTTCCTTGATTGCCATCTAGTGGAAACTGTGCGGTCTGCATTGCATCATTCCTAACAACATTTCCATTTAGGAGCTCATTGAGCTGTGCATGTGATTGCACCACTGAAAGAAGGGGCAACTGGTTGTGCATGTCTTGTGCTTTGCAAATTGCAGCAAGGGCTTGCTAGGTCAGGAGATTACACGATAAGGTGCAGAGTGGAGCAAGTGTTGCTGAGAACTTTATCTTTCACCAACTGATGTTGGTAAATGTTACTAGGAAGAGGTGAAGCATCAGGATGAAAGGGTTCAGGTCATAACCTGTCCATCTCTCAGGTCACAGGTTATTCATGATGGGCAATTAGTGTGCAAATGGCCCCGTTCCACTGGGGCAGAAACCAAACTATAGGTCAATATTAATATTTCTAAGGTGTATTTTCTTGTCTTGGGACAACTGTATTTTACAGATTAACTTTGTACTCTTTTAGAAGATAATAATTATGTTAAGATGTGTTGCTGAAACAAATGGGGTTAAAGTGGGAAAAAAACCCACCGATTTTCTCAACCCACAGTTTGAGCTGATCTGTAGATTCTGTAGGACGTTCTTTGAAAACATTTTAAAATATCAATCCAGATTCCTGAAAAGTACCAGAATAATTCATTTTGGAGTGTTCATTCATTTGGAGACACCAGAATGCTGGTTAGATTACAACCACACTGAGAGTCACATTTGGTCTGACTCTTATTCGTGTGATGTTTTTTTCTTGCTTCTTCCATGTTTTTCAAAACTTGAGTTGTTTTCCTTCAAGAAATTTATTAGATTACCCACACTCATCCCTTGAGAATGCAGCTAAGTTTCTAACATTGTTCCAGACTTCCTTATAGCAAAGTCCCACCAGCACTAAGCATTTTGTTTACCAAATTTGCATATCTATGCCACGTGCTTGTATCTTGTTCTCTCATTAACAATCATTCTCTCACTTTTCTTCTGAGAAGGACAAGACTTGTCTTGCTGCCATCCTAATGTGTTTTATGTTTTGTCCGAACCTTTCCTCAAGCAATGCATGTTATTCATGAGCCTGTGGTGATGTTGGAAAGCAACCAAAAACTCACTATTCAGTTGTCTTGAGACACTATGAGTATCAGCAACCCCTACAGAGAACTGCTGGCAATTCGCCTTCAGTATTTAAGCAAAGTGATTCCCTTTTGCCTTTAAATGAATATGTATGCCAAGAATTTCCTGAAGTTTCCCAGATAAGGTGTATAACTGGAAGCTTTTTGTAACTCTCCTTGTCACTAGACTGCATTCAGGCAAATTAAATCAATTGTTGGATTTTGCCTACTAATAAAGGAAATTTATCTTTAGAATACTTTTTTTTTAATGTTGTCTTTTTCTGTATAAAGAAAAATTCGGCCAGGAGAAAATCGAAAGTTCTTTAGAAAAATACTTGCTAATGTTTTTCCTTTCTTCTTTTGCTTATTTATAAATAAAGATATGCAGAGCCTCGAGAAGTTGCTGAGAGATGCAATAATATATGGGCAGCCTCGCACCCACAGAGCATGGAAAAAAATTCTCATCCTCGTGGAAGGCATTTACAGGTATGTTTGTGTTTTAGAAAGAGGAGTACTTTTTACCATCTATGAGGACAGAATGATAAAACAGAGTGAAGTGAATATTGACTCTGGGTATCTGAGGGAAATCTTAATGAGAGTAGAAGTTAAAATAATGTTTTGTGATCTTCTAAATGTTGATTTTCATTATGTCAGTCTGAACGCTTGATCTTGCAGCTCCAGTTAGATCCTGTATATTGTTCTGAATGTTGATTTAGCAAATCACAGTGGAATGGGAGATATACCAGGAGAGCATGACAGGTCATCATCAGCTGGTGTATATTGCCACAGATATGATAAAAGTCATGGTGCTATAGTAGGTGAGGAGTTTTGCTAAGTAAGCTGAATTTTCTGGAGTGGTTTGAATACACATGGGTAGATCAAAAGACAACTACACAGAACTAATTAAGCTCTGCATGTCCAGCTGTTGGAATCTAAAATCTCCAGCTAAACTTAGGCTAAGTGATAGCAGACCTTTCTAGCAATTAGTGCTGAATCTAATGAACCGACACTTCAACAGGAAAAACAATTGAAAGACTGGCTTTCAAACAATTGCGACACGACACTTCAACAGGAAAAACAATTGAAAGACTTTCAAACAATTGTATAGTGGCATTTCATGTAGTACTCTAGTCCCTGGAGGAATTTAAATGAGAGAAGTGCCTTTGAATCCATCAGACAATATCAGCATCAATAATACCATGAAATTAGAGAGCATCCTAGTGAGATACCTCTGGTTCACTGGTGTGGTTCACTACTGTGGTGCTTCAACAGGAAAAACAATTGAAAGACTTTCAAACAATTGTATAGTGGCATTTCATGTAGTACTCTAGTCCCTGGAGGAATTTAAATGAGAGAAGTGCCTTTGAATCCATCAGACAATATCAGCATCAATAATACCATGAAATTAGAGAGCATCCTAGTGAGATACCTCTGGTTCACTGGTGTGGTTCACTACTGTGGTGCAGGTTACACCCAACCAGAAAGATAAGCAGTCACTAGAGTTGAGCAGCAAAGCAGGGGCACCAGCCAGGCTCACCGTCTTGGGCTTCATCCTGGCAACCGCTCCAGTCAGGAGAAGGCTGATGGAGAGGCAGCCATGGGGCTTGTGGATGCACGGGGGGAGAGCCACTGGTGGGCGAGAAGCTGGAGAAGGGAGAGGTAGGGATCATGAAGAGGAGAGTAGGGCTGAAGAAGCAGGAGTTTGTACAGGAAGAGGATTTGCATGGATCTAGGCAAGATTACTGTGGCAATGGACAAGATAGGAGGAGCAGAAGGATAGTTTGGGTATCAGCGACACCTGCCCCAGAGAGAACGGAACCAGAACCGCTCATTCACAGGACATGACACGGTTTATGAAAGTGACATTAAATTCTATATATAGGGATCATATTGTGTCTTGCTGAAGTACAACTCGTCTGGATGGGCAGTTGCTTAGGCCATTTTACTGAGAAATATTAGTGCAGTTGAGCCAATTAGCTTTTTTTTGTCAGAAATCTTTTTACCTAACGTTTTCCATCTGCAAAGAGACCAAATCAGTCCTTATCTAAATACCTGTCACTCAGAGCTGAAACAGGTCAGCAGCAGATCAGCTGATCCAAAGCAGGCTGAACGTGTGCTTTCAACTAGAATAAACAGAGCAAAACTGCAAATAAACATCGCTTGGCACTACTAAAAGAAAGCTCAGATTTAAAGACTTTGATCATGCAGAAATTAAGTGGACCACCAACATGTTACTGACAAATATTCCCATTGGTGACATGGCTGGCAGAAAAAGCTCCAGCTGCTGAGCTTTGTTCACTTTTAAATCCTTCACCCTGAACATTGACCACTAGGGAGCAAGAAGGTAGACTGGTGGCACAGAAGCATAGATCAGTCCAAACAGTGGGACAAACCCACTGTCAGATATTTAACTATATTAACTATATTTCCAGATTTAGGTTTGATGTAGAGTTTTCTTTTCCTCAAGTTTTGCAGTTCATTTTCAAAGGAGATTTCATTTTCCAGAGCTCAAAGAACCTTCTGTTGGAATGCAAAATAAAAACATATTAAACCTCAGAGTACCTCACTAAAAGGGAACCATAAAGTTCCTTCAGCTCCATAAGGACTAAATAACGTTAAGACTGCTCATGCCCTGAGTGTCCACACTTCTGAAAGTCATAAAGTAAAAGAAAAACAAAGCTCAGGTCTTTAGTAGTCTTTCATTGGAAACTAGCCCTAGCAGTAGCTAGGTTGGTTGGTTAGTTGTTTTCACAGTCTAAGCAGATCAGAAATGGAAGAGTGCGTTTTGGTTGTAAAGGAAGTCTGCTCTGACTTGAGAGAATGTCACCACACCCCACCGTGCTGTGTCCCTGCCACCACTGCCAGCCTGAGGCACATGCAGCTGGGCTGTCCATACAGCTCTTCTGGGAACAGGCTCACAGGCCATGTAGTCTAGTCCAGTCAGTAGCTAAGAACACTTCATATGTAAAAGAAAAGCTGGAGAAAGACGTATTAGAAATACTCTTTTTGTGTGCATGTTGTTTCCTTTCTTGGCCCATGATTTTTCAAAGAGTAAATTTTTCCAGCCCCATATTAGCTAATGTTAGTTTTCTTGAAGATTTGCCAGATGCCAAATTAACATTCATCAAGAGGGTAGAGTGTAGTTAATGTGTTCTTCTTACAATAGTTAATACTGCTTTTTTTTCCCTTAAAGAACTTAAGTTACACTTCAGAGACAGCTAATACAAAATTTAAATAACTTGGTCAGAGCCATTCTCCAAGTTAAAATATCTTGACTTGCAAGTTTGGCTTGGCAAATTTTTACAGAAATGCTTTTTCCAGAGACACAAAAAACCCACTAATCTTTCCTTCTTTAAAAAAAATATTGTTACATGGGACACCATAGTCTTAGAATGGTGAAGTTCATGGTACGGAAAGAAATTTGCCTTCTGTTTCCATTAGGTGTATGTTAAAGTGTTTACACTGTGCATAAGCCTGGTTTTACCAGCTGGAAAAATTTGAAAAGGGTCTGAAAATCAGACTTGTGTTTGAAACCATAAGCCACAGATTTTGCTTGGTTACAACTGAAGGCAGGATTGACTCCTCGACATGGGAAGCACTCAAGCTACACATCAAATAAATAGCAATAAGTATGTTTGCTTGCTTTTTAATATCTCTATTATCTTAAAAAGAAATAAAAATCATCAGAAGTAAATGTAACTGCTAGTGAAACCTGGTTCTTAACTGAGACTAGCCTAGGAGCAGATCTATTCCATTTGCATTCCAAACTGAAGGAAACCATCTAGTCATCAATCTTCAGCATGAACAAGTTTTGGCAGTGACCAGGACACAAGTTAAACTGACTTGCTAAATCTTATTTTTATTATTTGAATTCCAGCTGATGTTTTCCTTGGCTTCTATCATTTCCAGTTCAGGATTAATCAGTTACTGTGTTCTTACATGGTTTGTGGTAGGCTTCTTCTCTCTTCCATTCATATTTACCTAAGAGTCAGATAGGTCAAGGCCCAGGGCAGGAGTTATAGGGCATCAGAAACTGATCAAAACAGATTATTTTTCTTTTTTTTCCCCTGCTTTTAATTTAATTTGGGTAGCTTCCCTTCCAGCTAAGAAAATAGGTCTCATCAGTTAGATATTGTCCAGTGCCTTTTCATGTGCATTGCAAGTTCCTTGGGATTCAATGCCAATGGCATAGGAAATTTATCAGGGTTATTTTTTATTTCCTGGGATTAAGCGACTGGACTTCCAGACAAGAATGGAGTAACATTTAATGTCTTTGGCGAGGGACCAGCATTAAAGGTTAACATTTCTATCATTTCAGTGTATGGAGTTGTGTTTGAGGGCAGTGTTGGGAGGTTTCCTTAAAATTATTGCTCTAGACTACAAAACAGAGATTGCTGTATGAATGTACAAGGTTTACAAAAGAAAAGAGTACCTAAAGTAATTGTTGAAATAGAATGCATACATCTTGGAAAAAAACAGGCCAGGAAAGGAGGGATTTTCCCAAATAAAAACTAACCTGAAAGGGGAACAGATAAACTTTTCAAATGTTGAAAGGATAATGGTAATACAGGACATGTTTAGAGATGCTGAGTGATGCAGTTATGAAGTAGATAACAGGTTGAATACCTGTAAATCAGTTTTCCTGACAGAAAAAAAAAGATTGAAACTGTGGTAATTGTTTCAAAATAAACTGGACAAACAAATCTCCATATCCTGTCAAGAGCAAGCCTGTGTTCCAAGTGAAGTGACCATCACAAGTGCACACCTCCTATCTCTCAAACCACGTCTCCACAATTCATCAGCTGCATCAGGAAGAATGTCAGTGGTTTTGTAGGAATTGAATCAAGTTTCAAACAAGTCTCAAAACTTGGGAATATCTCCACACATCTGGAAGTAGGTTCAAACTGAGTATGTACTGTCTCACGCTTTTGTGCCTGCCCACCAAACAAGGGAGATGAGGGTCAGCTGCAATCTAGAAGTTTTACATCCCTGCCACCAACCTTAAGAATTTTTGCTACAAGACAGGATGTCATACCACATAATGAGAATGTCTGGCCTGAGCAGAGCCAGCTGATATTCATCTGCATCCAGCTTTTTTTGATGTGCCCTGTGTGCTTGAGCAGATCTGGAAACAGATCAATAATTTTGTACACAATAGCTGTTTGTACACAAAGCTAAGTGACACAAGCAGACTGAGACAGAACCATTACAGCTCACTTCTGGCTCTCTGGTTTAAGCTTAGTTGACATCAATATTTACTGAAGGATTCAGTAAACTTTCCATTTGGGCTACCCAAGGGGTTATGTGAAGTGAGCTTTATCTTGAATCAGTGCCAAACAGGGTGGTGTGCATATCACGAACTGTCTGTCTCCCAGGGTCAAAAGAGAGTCCAAGAGGAGAGTGGGCAGCAAACAGCTCTCTGCCATCAGGAGGGGTGAGGCCTGTTAATGGCAACACAGAAGATATGCACATATCCAGTAGTGTTTTATCTACTCCACGGACGCTTCAAGGCCATGTTAGGATCTCTGTCAACTATTATAACATTTATGTCAGCCCAGCATCTTTCAAGAGCAGTAAATCAACACTGAAACTGAATACAGGTGTCTTGTTTTGCTAAACAGCTTAGAGTTCCAAGAGAAATCACCTATTTATATGACTAAGAAAAGTTTTCATTAAATCTTCTTAACGGTTAAATCTTGCAACAGCCGTGTTACCAGCTCTGTGTATTTTGGGATTCAGAACAAGTTTGCTCCCATTCCACAAATATGCAGCATTTTTAATTTACCATTTTTATTCTTGTCTTTTTGAAGTCAAATGCTGTCTCTCCCATCTAAATCTCCATGAGCCACTAAGCCTAATGATGTCAATGCAAATGTGGAAAAATTGTTACTGTCCTTCTCTGCCTAGCTGTTCTGCCCAAGCATTGCTGGAAGGTGGAGAGTGGCATGCCTGCTTGCCTCCCTCTGCAGAGGTCCTCCTTGGCACTCTCTGGCCATACTGCCACCCTGCAGACCAGCCAGATGAAGCTGAGAGCTGCCATCCCCAGCACATAGGATGCTGCATGCCCAAGTATACCCAATGGCTCCGTGTAATTTTTAGCTGACTAATGCTTTGACTCTGGGCTATGTGAGGACTGTGGGCTCTGCTCTTGTATTTATTAGGAAAATAGCTGTGGTGGTTCAAGTTGCTTATCCCCCAGCTGCCAAGTGCCATTTGGAAAAAGTGAGAAAGCCCAGTCTGCAGGAGCTTACAGTACAAGCCCACCCTTCTTGGCTGCAAAAGACCATGGTGCCAACATATATAGCCCCTCAGCTGCCTCTTTTATAGCTGGGCAAGACAGAAGGACAAAATTTGCCAGCAGTCACCTAAAGCCAAAAATATGCCTCCAGGCACACACAGCCAGGCTCCCTGAACCTCCCAGTATGAGCAGCACAGGCAGCCCTTGTCCATGGCTACTCCCCGATGCTGTTCCTTCAAACTAATGGAGATTTGCCTATGGGCAGGTCTCCTTCAAAACTGAAGACCAAAGAGTTTCCAAGTTTACTCAGGAGACCAAAGGATGAAGGACTAAAATTGTCAGAAATTTCCTGAATGCTAAAAGCACATCCTGCTCCTTTTGTGGTGCCAGACTTCCAGCTGCACAGCACAACTAGAGTGGCAGTAAAATAGTCTGTGAAAGCCACTGGTCCAGGATCTAAAAATTGCCACTCACTTTGTGCTTGATAGGAAGTATTTAGTATTTGAAGACCTGCTTACTAGAGCTAGTGGAAGAGAACATTTTTAACTCCTTATGAATTGAATACAGAGTGCATCTGAGCATATCCAAGCATAGCTGTTGTCATCTCACAAAGGTTTTCAAGACATAATCGTCTTCACATCAATGCTACCGATGCTTCGTCTCTATGGGATCAGAGTGCATTTCTTATTTATCTCCCTGGGCTTTCATTTTGCTATACACCTCTGTGCTATTTCACTTACTGATACAACTGCCAACAATACAGAGATTTATCATATTTTCTCATTTCTACAAATCTTAATACACCATTAATCGTAGACTTATGAAATGGTTTGGGTTGGAAGGGACCTTAAAGATCATCTAGTTCCAACCCTCCTATCATGGGCAGACACCTCCCATTAGACCAGGTTGCTCAGAGCCCCATCCAGCCTGGCCTTGAACACTGCCAGAGTTGGGGCATTTGCAATTTCTCTGGGCAACCCGTTCCAGCGCAAGTTCAGAATATTTCTTTTTCCTGTCTGTCAGTAAGAAAGTAAGAAGAAAAGGAATGGAAACTTTTTGCCTTTCAGTGACTACGTAGCAGGCTACATTTCCTAAAAAGTACATATTGGGAGCAACAATTGGCAAGAGTGGATTTGAGCTGCCTGTTCTAATCCTCAATTCTGTTCACTCTGAAGACTGGGACTGCTTAGAATTATGGCACCAGTTGTGAGTTTCACATGGCCCATCTCCTGTGTATGTTGGATCCAACTCCTCTGCACCAAAGGAATTTGCAGTAGAGATGTTACACCCAAATATTGCCACAGTAGCTAACATTGAAGTAACCAAGGATCAGACTGAATTATAGCAGTTCTTTATAATTCATTATAATATTTGTTTTGTAGTGATGAATTTTAATGTGCTGCTTTGAATGAGTATCTCCTCCTTGATTTATACCATTCCTGTTCTGGCATGTTGACAATTTGCAAATGTTAGAAGACTTTTTGACTGGTTTTGATTGCCTGAATTCTAGAATTATTTTACTGTTTTACACTCACCTGCATTTGGGAAATGGCTGCAAGTTTTCTTTGAACTGTTAATAAAAACCAATGTTCCAGAAGATCTTTCAGGGAATAAGGCAATTAATGACTATATTTTCTGCCGGTGTCTTAAAAAGAAAGAGTACAGGATTTGTTGTTCATCCCCAATTCTCTCCATTTGCAGCATGGAAGGGTCCATCGTGCGCCTGCCAGAAATAGTCTCCTTGAAGAAGAAATACAAAGCCTACCTCTACTTGGATGAAGCTCACAGCATTGGTGCAGTGGGAGCAACAGGCCGAGGAGTTGTGGAGTACTTCGGTATGAACCCTGATGATGTTGATGTATTAATGGGAACGTTCACAAAGAGCTTTGGCGCAGCTGGAGGATACATAGCTGGCAAGAAGGTAAAAGGAAGGCATCAACAATTTAACATCAAGGGAGTGGGAAGTACCGTTTTATTATGTGTGATATATTTCAGTATCTTTTTGCACAGATTGTTTTACATGAGCACTGTTCTAACGTTAGTAGCATTTTTGCCTGGATCCCAAATGCACATCAAACAGTCAGGCTTTCTTATTTTGGTCTCATGTTCACATTATGTAATTTGCTTGAGTTGGGTATTTCTGTGCCACTCTGCTGATTGTTGTTTGTCTTGGAAATGTTTAGACACGTTGTGGTTGGCTAAATATACTTCATTACATTAATTTGCATGCAGATTGCTCGTTACTTTGTTTCACATTTGTAAATAATGTGTGGAGCAATATTGAGAGATTCAAACCACAGTTTCATCTACTGATAATAAAATTCCTAAACAATTGTGGATTGACATAGTTGCATTTTTTAGGAGAAAAAGGGTTACTGAGGGCCTTTTGCAATAGTAAATTCCATGTCCTCAGTTGCTCCTCGTACATTAACAAAACAATCTCTTGCCAACAACAGATGTCAACAAAAAGTAGAGCTGAGCTTGCTTTAACTGGGGGTGTAGAAGAGAAAGCATAATCAGCACCATTGTGAAATGTCATCGGTTTTGCTGCTTGACAGAGAGATCAAGTGGTTGCTGATTATTTGCCCTTTTCATACCCAGCTGAATGTATTTCTTAAGGAGTCTGCTGAATGAGTAGGAAGCCTGTTTAGACAACCCATATGGTTGTTGTCAGGATAACATCAATAAGAGTAGCCTTAGAGTAGAATAAAAGGGCTATAAGAAAGTATAAACTGTGTATTTCTTAGTGTCTTTTTTGGGTTTGCCCCTGGACTTCTTAAACCCGGGTGTCATAATACATCAAGAGTCAATTCTCTTTGTTTCCTTGGCTTCCTGAATTTGTATCTGAAGGCTTAACTCTTACCAAAGACAATGTGGCTAATGTAACTAGAAAGTAGAGGAAGCCTAGACCTGTGAAAAGTAGTCTGAAGTAATTCATCCTCTAATCCTTTGGAGTTTTCTTAAATGAAAGCTTGTTGTTCTTTTCACGCCTGTGTGTATCACTAAGCTTTGCCTCAGGCTTCTGGGTCTTGGAAGGCTGCTCACCCATTCACCCGCTTACATTCATTTCTGCAGCCAAAAACTCATGGTGGCACTGTTTATTCTGTGTCAGCAGGGGCAGAGAAGCCTTCACAGCTGTTTTCTCGAACCCTTAGGAGTACAGTTGTAGTATACCTAACCTGTGTGAGGTTAGGTAAATCTTTCTCCTTAGCATTAGAGTTACTGCATAGACTGATAAAGTTCTTTTGGCAATAATTTGTGTTATTCTCTTTGGTTTTGGGTTTTTTTATGATGATACTTTCTTACCAAAGTCAATTTTCAAGCAGGTCTTGTCTCATCCCTTTGTCACTAACATGCATTCAGGTTTTAGTGTGGTAACTGTTACTCTGATATTTTGCACTAAGAGGTATAAGATGTTGTAACAACAGTGATCTTGATTAAGATCTGAATTCCTATAGCTTCCCTGGATTCGGGAGAGTTACTGGTGCTTTAGACATGCCTACAGTACATCTGTGCTATTTCTAGGAGCAAGATTGTGCTCTTAGTTATACAAGGAAATGTTAAAGCAACTATACCAACTCTATAGTCCCTGCCACACTGATGGAAAGTTTCAATTGAAAATTTATATGCTAATAGCCAAAGATAGATCCCAGCAAGGTTGTTTTTCCTGGGCTAGGTCATGTGACAGAGGAACTGTACCAATGTCATTGTAGGCTTTGCTTCATTCCCAGGCTGGAACTGAGCAGCATTATTTTAAGTGCAGCTGTTCATTGGTCTTGACATTATTTTGGCTCCTTCTGTCTTAGAACAGAAGCAAACATTATTCTATTCCAGACTTTTCCTTCAGCTGTAATTGCCCCAGTTATATGGTAAAGTTTTTTAAAGTATTTATACCTGCCTGATATTTCTTCAGGCCACATATTAACAGTAGCAGCCAAGAAAGCAAACTAATGGCTGGTGAAACATCCCCTCCTTTTGTACATTCTCACTTCTGCAGTAGTTTAGAGGGAGATCTGGTGTTTGGCCAGCTCAAAGCTCATCCATGCTTTGTTTTGCTTTTGTAAGGACCTTGTGGACTTTCTACGAACTCATTCTCACAGTGCTGTGTATGCCACATCAATGTGTCCACCTGTAGCAGAGCAAATCATCAGGGCAATGAAATGTCTCATGGGACTAGATGGGACAACACAAGGTAAGCCAACTTCTTTGACTTCACTCATTTCAGTTGTTACCAGAGCATCTCCTATGTGTGGACACACGCAAAATGTCATCCAGCGGCAAAGTAGTATGGTAAAGGAAAGGAAAGAAAATCAGTCTTACTGAAAAATTAATATCCAAATCACCATACTTCTAAGTGCTATCGACTCTATTTCTTTTTCCATGCTCATCCATATGCAGCAGGGATGGAAATAGTCTGGAATTCTGGCTTTACAGCTGCCAGCCCACCCTGCTTTGCAGCAACAAATAGAAATGCATTAATTGCCCTTTGAGTATGTTGTCTGCCTTTGTTGGGGGGTTCATAAGGATGTGACTTCATTTATGGGCTAGGTGCTGTCAGTTTAGCTTTGTAAGTGTGATCCTTCAAAATGGCAAACAACTCAAGTGTGGTGCAGAATTTCAGAGCAGGTATTGTATGTTAAATAGTAGTACGAGAAGATGATTATAACATCTGCCTCTCTCATGCATCAATTATGGTGTCCTGAAGGTAGTTTTGAAGTACATTTTGTCTCAACAGAATTGACTACTTGGTGTCTTTATGAAAAATTAGGTTTGTTTCTACTCTCCTGAAGTTGCAGATGGAGCTACTGTCCAATCAATCCTCTGTGTAACATACTTTCTAAACAACAAGCAACCAAACAACTGTGACATATCTATCCGTACTGCTTCAAAGTGTTGCTGAGGCATATTCAGATGTATTCTAGGACTTAAATCCCAATATGGAGAAAAACTGATGGGTTTTAAAATTAGGTTTGTTTCTACTCTCCTGAAGTTGCAGATGGAGCTACTGTCCAATCAATCCTCTGTGTAACATACTTTCTAAACAACAAGCAACCAAACAACTGTGACATATCTATCCGTACTGCTTCAAAGTGTTGCTGAGGCATATTCAGATGTATTCTAGGACTTAAATCCCAATATGGAGAAAAACTGATGGGTTTTGAATTTGTATAGTTCAGGAATGTATGCCTGAGAGTCATGTTATAGTGTAATATGCATTGAAGATACAGATTCTGCTCTTAATTGCAATCACACTTATACTGGTCCAGAAGCACTGTGCTGTGCTATTTTCTCTTACTTTGTCTGAGACTAACAGAGTTAATTCTGTATTAGTCCTCTCCCCACCCCAGATAGGACTGGGGTAAGGTGGGAATGAAAAAGTAAAAAGGGTAGGTAAGAGCAGGTAAGATACTGTTCTGCACTATTCTGTTGCAGTGCCCTAGAGGGCAGTTTCAAGCTACAACAGACAGACGCGAATCTATTAAGACTTTTATCACAGCACTTCAGTGAGGCCAGAATTTGCAAGACCCCAGAGTACAGAAGGAGGGATAGAGAATCCAATCCCAGTGGCTGTCCCGGATGACTGTCCAGCCATGCTGCTTCCTGCCCTGGTGCCTGCCGTGAGAGGGCGGTCTGACACTGAGCCTTCCCAAGAGTTAAAGACTTAAGGTGCTCAGAGATGCTGCATGTAAAACATGAAACATGCAGAGCATTTCCAAGCCTTCAAAGTCTGTTAAAAATGCTCTTCAGCTAGCATGATTCTGCATGCAGTTTGGTGCAGGGTAATAGGAGAACTTGGTTCAAGACAGTCTTTTAAGGTGTGTATATATCTTAGGGCTAAGAGTTTGAAACATTTTCTCTTCCAGAAGCATTGTTGTTTAATGACAGAGTTTTTGTCTTTCTCCACAAAATAGGAGTTTATTACATCTTCTGCAAATCCTTTATGAAATAAATTAGTGTTTTGTCAGTTTTTTAAAAATTATCTTGCAATATGAAATGCAAATGAGGAGAAAAACAAATGAATAAATCATATATCACAACTTAGAGCATTGCACAAAGGCTAGCAAACTGGCTATGATGTGTAAAAAAGTTTCTTGTCCTTCTGAGCCAGACTCATTATTTTAGTCTATTGGTTTTTCTTTCATGTGGGCCTCCCTTCATTAGGCTGTCTTGTGGACTACAAAAAAGAACCACAACCCAAAACACAGGAAAAAATGCTATGCTGGACCACACTACAATGCTGCTTTGCCATCAGAGAGAAGAAGGTCATGGCTTAGAAAGGAGGGGGAACAGAAGGGAGAAAGCATTCTCTTCTTAGATATTTTTTATTCCAAGGACAACAGTGACCTTGGCAGAGTTCTTTTGGTCTGCCATCATAGAAAATAGTGATCCTACACGTGAGTCATACTTGTGAGAGCATGAGCTATATAGCAGGGACACCTGACAGAGAAGTTTTAGGTGAACCAAAGTTGCTGCAGGGTGGTATAGACCATTTGTTCTCTGGAAGCCTGTTGAATCCATAGAAGAAGTTTATTTTGCAAGTTATTTCAAATGGCATTCTCTTCCTACAGGCTGATTGGGGAATCCATTATAAGATGTCCACTGATGGCTTGTCCTCCCAAGATCATTTCTGTAGGGGAAAAAATACTGGGAATGTTTTGAAAAATAATTAAATTGGAGTTTGCTAAAATGTTCCATGTGAACTAGAGGGTGCTTGTTGAAAAGAGTGTGAAATAAGGGCATGACAAATGTATTAACCCAGCATGTTCTTACACCTCAGCTTCATGACTGACTCCTTGGCAGATCAGTAGAAAGCTAAAAGAAGGATGTCTGATTTGGTCACTTAAATTACTGCTTGGAAAAATCTTTATTTGTTAGTACTTCACACAGCCTGTTACATTTTCTCAGATATCATGCTTTCACATTCCCATCAATTTTGTGCTAGTTATTCTCCACTAATTTTTTAAGCAGCACATCTAGAAAAGAGTAGCATAGGTGACATTGTATCTGAGATAATGCCTGAAGCCAGAAATTCAACAGTACTTGTGTTTATCCCGGTGCGTATACAATTGATTGATCTTCCATATTTTGTTCCTGTATTTTCAATCAGTGTGAATATGGTAGCTTGTTTGGAAAAAGAATCAGGATGTACATTTCCAGGATAGGATCAGTGTACTGAATGCATATCAATAGATGTTTATGGGCACAGGGGTTACAGCTTCATTGCAAGGAAGGAATAGGTTAGCACTTTAAAAATACTTCTGTGAAGCCTAAACTGTTTAGCTGGAAATTACCTGCAGCGGGTACCTGTTTCAGGATACAATAGATAAGTGTGTAGGTATGTTCCCATATCAATATTTTTTATATTTGTGAGATACTAATGTCATTATAATGTGACTGGGAGGATACTGCAGAGCCCACAGCCAGCTATTACAGCTTCCTCCTTTTGCCACGTTTTCTGAGGTGACTTTAGAAAATGAAGGACAAGAAATTCTGAATTAGGAGAAGGTAGTAGCTCCCTCAAAACTGATATACTCCGTTCCTGAGTGGGAAAGACAAATAGCTTGAGGCCACTATGATCAAGTCCTTTGTTTCTAGAGTGACTTGTATCCAAAGAGTTAGAAACTGGCTACAGAAAATGCAAATGTATTTCCATTTTCATGTGAAACCAAAGCTTTAGTAGAGTACAAGTTCTGCTGTTTTTTCAGCGCCATGTTTTACAGGACTCTGAAAATCAATGGCCTGTAGAGCAAGACCATTACGTCATAAAAACAATGATAGTCCCTATAATAGAGTTGTTCAAAAGTGTATGACCTTCTGGCAGCTGTATTTCCTTTAGTAATGTCATGAGCCAGCAAGTTCCATGATGCAGTTCATATAGTCCAATTTTTTTAAAAAATCATTTTATCCCTCTTAAACCTTTGTGGCCTTTTCATCTCAAATGCATCTCTGCTCACTTATTAGGAAATATGGGAAGCAGAAGTTCCCATGGCACTTACGCTTTACAATTCATAATATAGATATTCTTCATGTGCTCTCCTTGTGGCTTCTCATTACACCACAGGAGATACCTCAGGCAACTCAGCAGCTGCCTTAGTGGTTTTATCCCTATGATGAGACTGTACACTTGCATGCAAGACAACCCCTTCAGCTGTGACCTCTGACCTCTTTTCTTCCCCCTTTCTGCATGAGAATACTAAAAGTATATTTTTGCACTTAAATTTGATAGGTAAAAGATAGAACTACTAGGCAGACATAGTTAAGACTGCTAGAAAATCCAAAGCAATTTTCTTGATAACTAATAATAGATTACAGTGGTGTAAAAAGCAAACTTCAGTATTTGCAAAGGCTTCATTGTTCTGTTTAATGCATGGCAAACAATAATTCACCAACAGCAATGGGTATTTTTCATATGTTTTTATGGGATGCTGAAAAATGTAAAACCCTGTGCTCTGGAATCTACTGTTTTTGTTATGTTAAAAGATAATCCCTGAGGTTGTTTAGATAGAAAGTGTTTCTTTAAAATATTAATTTATGTTGCCATTTATGCTGATTGGTTTATCTTTTTGCAACTGCTAGTTTTCATTTTTGTGTTTAGCGAACTTTGAGTTCTTACACTTGAGCTCATTCAGATTGTGAGAAGCAGCAGAATGCTGCTTTCTGTTTAGGTTTGGCATTAAAAAGAATGTTTTTTAAAGGTTCCTTTTTAAAACATTTCCGTCTGCCTTAGATTTTTGTATAACTAGAGGACCAACTCCTTAAAATGCTGGGCTTCCAACATTTCCCACTGCTTTGTGTGTTCAGCAGTCCTTTGAAAACATTAGCTTTGCTTTGTCCTCTGTACATTCAGAAAACTTAGTTCCATGTAACTACGGCCTGGCTTGTGCCCTTTCCCTTATGCCAGCATTAGTGTTCATGCAGCCATGCAATGAACTGAATCAGAGAACTGATCTAGCTGAAAAATAACCAACCCTCCCACATATGGTTAGCCTACAGCCAAACTGGTTCCCTGAGCCAATCTGCCATATGGCTATATGAATCCCAGTGCCAGGACTTGAGCAGCTGGAGCTGAGAGAAGTGATCCCTTTTGCAAGAAAATAAATCTATGCCAGACTGAACTGATCATGAAACTATTGCTGTAAGCTTTAAATCTACAAGTGACTTATTGATGGACCCCTTGAACCTGCTCAAAAC